AAAAAAAAATCCTCACATAAAGCTTCAAGATCTTAACTTGCCAGCCCTTTCAGATCCTTGGGTACAGATTGGGCCTTCACATCTGTGTTCTGGATGGCTCCAAGAGAGGCTTTCTGCTCTGAGTGCACAACAGTGGCAAGCTGCGCATGTATTAGGGTCTGTGGTAGCTCTGCTGCCGCTAGTGGTGCATCACAAGTGCCTATTCTTCTCCCTGCTGTTCTGTTTTCTTGGTGTCATGTGGGTGATGGAGCCAAACATTGACACTGATGCAACCTCTGTGTTGGACCAGTAAACCCCAAAAACAAATCAACCCAGGAAACCTCTCAAACCTTCTGTTTATGATACCCTATTCAAGCTCATCTGGGAGAAGGACTAACAGTAAGAGAACCATCTTTGCAGTCTCATTCTTACCTGGCAGACAGACTTCTGAAAAATCACTTGTCTATCCATAGCTTAAACCATTATAATAATAGAAGCTTATGAATAGCTTATGAATAGAAGCCTTATAGCAGCTCAGAAACAGCACTTACCATGACTTGATGATTTTAAAGGTCTTTTTCAGTCTAAGAAATTCTATGTTTCTATTTAGCAATGTGAGTCTCCATGCAGTAGCTGATTGGGAGATGAGTACTTGAAATATGATCAGTTAGCCAGTAAGGGACCCAACTGTCCTGCTAGGGAAATCATTTGATTCAGGTTTTGAGAGGTCACAGAAGGGCAGAGACTGAGAGAACAGAGTGAGGAGGGCACTTCAGCCACCTGTGAAACATGCAGGGATGGGGAGTGAATGTGTGTGTTAGGGATGGAAAGCTAACCATTTTCCCGTGAGAAGGGGACACACTCCAGAACTTGAGATCCATAATGGTCAGCCCACTCATATCAGTTGGCTAAACATTCCTGCATGACTGAAATTGTGACTTGAAATTGATACCTGAATCTGCTCATAATTTACTAGTTGGTGTCATGTGCAGAGAATGAAAAGAATCCTGAAAGAGTTTATTTCTAAAAATTGGGAGAAACTTTTAGAACACAACAAGGGGCAAAGGACTTTCCATAAATTAATCAATTGAATTAATGGTTTGAATCCAATCTTCAGCTCCAGGGAGAGGTGCAGTCTCTTCCTTGTAAATGATAAATATCCTACATAACTCAGTGCTAGCCTTTGGATGCTTGTGCTGTTATATACATATGTGTACGCTGGCAATAGGCTACTGTCACTCACCCAGCAGTGATGGTCATAATGTTGATCAGCTTGTCCTTCCCCGTGCACTCTATCCTGTCAGTAAGACAGAGCACCTGGGGAAAATCTATCATGTTAAAATTTGAATTGCAGTATTATTGATGAAGAGAGTGAGCTGGGATTTCACATGTGGTTTTCATTCTTGCACTTTCTACTTTCGAGCACTTAAAGTTCTCCCTTTGTTACTTTGATAAGAGGGTTCTTTTTTTTCTTTTATTCAAGGAAGTCTTAGGAAGAAACCTTTTATTTTATATGCATCTCTAACAGAAGGTGTGCTCCTTGATTCTTCAGCACCATTGACCAGCTAGGACTATGGCTACATTTATTGATAGCAAGGCTCTTAACCTATATGAATAAAGGGGAGTGACAGGAAAGGAATTGACACATCCACAGCATTGTCAGGATGTTAACAGAGAAAGTCCAAATAGGCACTCTTTTCTTATCTTGGAGGCTGGTTTTTCATGGATATCTGTGGCACAGGCTTGTCTTTATGTTGGACTACTCTTGTTCCTCTATTATTATAATGGTTTAAGCTATGGATAGACAAGTGATTTTTCAGAAGTCTGTCTGCCAGGTAAGAATGAGACTGCAAAGATGGTTCTCTTACTGTTAGTCCTTCTCCCAGATGAGCTTGAATAGGGTATCATAAACAGAAGGGAAGGTTTGATTCCTGGGTTGATTTGTTTTTGGGGTTTTTTTGAGAAAGATTACAGGAGTTGTAGGAAACCTTACAAAGCTAAGCAGAGTATTATCCCTACTGCCCCTGTAATTTAACTTTCCACAACAAAAATGTTCCCAAAAAATAAGAGTTATGTTTCAGATTTAGCTAAACCTCAAGGGCCAATCCTGTTTTCACATTCCTGCATTAATTCAGCTTTGATACACACTGCTTATTTTTTGAGAAAGATTACAGGAGTTGTAGGAAACCTTACAAAGCTAAGCAGAGTATTATCCCTACTGCCCCTGTAATTTAACTTTCCACAACAAAAATGTTCCCAAAAAATAAGAGTTATGTTTCAGATTTAGCTAAACCTCAAGGGCCAATCCTGTTTTCACATTCCTGCATTAATTCAGCTTTGATACACACTGCTTATTCTCTGCAAATTCTCTCTGCAAATATGGAGATCTCTTCAGTCTGCTCTTGTGCTGAGTACTTTCTGCTGTGGGAAGTCTGCTACTTATTAATACAAAAATGAAGCAACACTTAAGCAAGAAGAAAGAACTTCATTGTAGCTTTTAGGCTTTTTTTTTATTTCTGTGTTTGCGTATAGAAAAAGACTGCTTAATTTATGGGAGGATGTTGCTGTTCCTCAGTGACAAATTACAATTTTTTAAAGTTAAAACAGAATAAATTCTGTCCAAAGGTAAAGCTAGAGGGTTATTTACATCACTCATGCATCTGGGTTTGCTTAAGAGTGGGACTAAATACAAGATTTTAAAATGCAAATCTGACATGGTATGATAAATATATAGTACTCTGCTGGTGCTACCTCAGCTTGAGTCCTGTGTGCAGTTTTGCATGTCTCGGTATAAGAAGAATATAAACCCATTAGCTTCCAAAGGAGGCAGCAAAGATCGTGAAGGGCCTAGAGAGGGAACCATATGAGGAGTGGCTGAGGTCACTTGGTCTCTTCAGCCTGGAGAAGAAGAGACCGAGGGGAGATCTCATAACTGTCTGCTACTCCCTCATGAGTGGAAGTGGAGTGGCAGGCACTGGTTACTTCTCTCTGGTGACCAGTGATAGGACCCAAGGGAATGGCCTGAAGCTGTGTAAGGGGAGATTGAGGCTGAATATTAGGAAAAGATTCTTCAGCTAGAGCATGGTTGGACACTGGAACAGGCTCCCCAGGGAAATGGTCGTGGCACCAAGCCTGCCAGAGTTCAAGAAGTGTTTGCACAATGCTGTGTGATTCTTGGGGTTGTCCTGTGCAGGGCCAGGAGTTGGACTTGTTTGATCCCCATGGGTCCCTTCTAACTCAGGATATTCTATGATTGTCAAATTTTTCCAGTAAAATGATGGAACGTGTTTTATAAACAATCTCAATAATGCCTGGTAGTTCTTGTTACTTTGGTATGCTTCAGTAATTGTTACTTAGCAAAATGAACTTTCCTACTTTTCTTATGCAAAGATAAATTTCTATACTGGAAATACTTGATTTTTTTTTTTTTAAAGAGATTTTATATTTAGAAGCCTTCTCCTGTCCCTAAATAAATATACTGGATTTCAGCTACGGCTCATGAGTGTGTTAATTCCACATTTTGTATAATGTGAAGAAACTCTAGAGAATCTCCCTAGTTGAAGATTATAATTATTTTTCCTGTTTAGAAAAAAAGGCATGTATCTTTCTCAAATGAGGAACTGGAAGGAATAAATATTATTTCTTCATTTAGTTTTTCATTCTTTCCACAGATATAACTCTGAAGGGCAAGGGAAATGGTGTGAATGCAGTAGATCTAGTGCTTTCTGAATGCATCACAGGGCTTCTTTATGGGATCTGGATAGCAGTGAGATCTGCTAATATCTGGAGTTTTTCTTGGATGTGTTAAGGCATGTTTAGAGCTTGGCCATGTCCTCTGGCGTGTCCAGTCCCAGGACTCCCTCCTGCCTGGATGCTGGTACCCAGGGCCTCTCTCTGAATGGAACGATATGGCTGCAGCTTCCCCCTTTGATAGTTCTGATTGAAACACCTCTGCCAAAATAATGCCTTTTGCCAGATATTCCAGTTCCATGCAGGCAAGACATGGATGTGGCTGTCATGCAGATTGGCACAGACAAGGTACTGCCTTCAACTGCACCCATGTGCATCACCTATCTAAACAGAGAGACAAGTCTCCTCTTACTCCTCAGCTGGCAGACATAGGAGGTCACTAGGGAAGGCACACACTCAGACACACATGCCTCCTTTAATACCCTTTTCTGTCTGTTCTGCCTTGGTTGCTCTCCATTCCCTAACATTTCATGGTACCTCATGATATTTCATAGTCCCCCCAAGATCCTTATCAAGTTGCAAAGTCCTGTTTGCCTGCAGTTTCTTCATAGATCACCAATTTGTCTGACACTTTTTCTTTTTTTTGTTTGTTTGTTTTCCTCCATTATGTTTTAATGTCAGGTCCTGTAACTGTATTTTTGTTCCTGTTATCATTATTCCTTTTTGCACTGGAAAAATCATTGACCAGATACCCTTAAAGCAGCAGACACTCTCCTTCCACACACCCTTACAGCTTGTCCTTAGGCACATTATAGCGAAGAGTAGTTATGAGTTCCTTGTAAATAGAGCCTCTAGAGATTAGGCAGCAGGATGATAAATATGCTGTGTGCTTCTTCCCACTAAAATTGAGAATTTAAAACTTTTTTTTTTTTTTTAAATCAAGTAGCTTTGATTGCAAAGTAAAAGTGGATTTGGTCCATTAATATGAAAGAGGTAAGAAAATACCCTCCAAACAGATCCTGGTTTTAACAAAGAGGCCTGATGGTACAGTTGTTAAAGTAGAGAATATTTTTCTAGAAGCTAGTGGGAATCTTCAGTTTCTGGAGAGTTTCACGGGCCATGGGAAGCAAGCCATAGATTCCCATGAACTCTGATTTGCAATTTAAAGTAGAACAAAGGATTTCAGTGCTGCCAATGTATCACTGTAAATTCTTTCTAACAAGAAAAAAAAAATCTGTCCTCCACCAGTGTGATGCACTGTTTTTTAATTTTTTTTGCAGTATTGCTAGTCATTACTGTACTGTACACACTCTCATGTTCTTATTTTTCAGGTCAAAAGGTGTGCTATGGTGCCTTCAAGCATTCGTGTTACAAGTTAGCGTATTTCCAGGACTTGTCTAGACGCGTGGGCTTTCAGGAGGCTCGCCAAGCCTGTGAAATTGATGGAGGGGCTTTACTGAGCTTGGAAAGTGAAGCAGAGCAGCAACTAATAGAAAGCATGTTGCAAAACCTCACTAAATCAGGCTCTGGGATTTCTGATGGTGATTTCTGGATTGGGCTGTGGAGAAGTGGCGATGGACTAGCCACATCAAGTGTTTGCCCTGACCTCTACCAGTGGGCTGATGGAAGCATTTCACCATTCAGGTAAGTCTGTAAAACTGTTTATTGAGAAGGTTCCATAGGTAAGTCTGTAAAACCACTTATTGAGACAGTTTCATGGGAAGAAATGGAAATTGAAATGCCCAGTAAGCCAAGTCTTCTAGAAAGAAGCTTGAAGGCTTGCTGCTCCATGAAGTTAGTAGAATCCCTTGTTAACTTCCCCAGATAAAGGGGAGCTGTCAGCTTCGAATTTGAAGCTGTAAAAGAATGGCATAGTATGTCTTTAGCCTACAATTTTCTTTGTTCCCACCTAATGACTTTGCTTCTGTGTGGCTTTTGGAGGTTGTTCTGCTACAATAGAATAGTATCTTTAGGATGCCGTCTGAAAGCAGGCAGGCAAATTCTGCAAGATTCTGTCCACCTCAAATAAGCCTCAAAGTAAATTAGTGCATGTTACTTAGCATAAATTGTTCTGTTTCTACCCTTTTGGAAAGGCCTTTAATTTCCTGATTAAGCCAAAGGCCAGAGTAGCAGCAGCTCACAGGACTCATGACAAGGGAACGAGTAAGAGTCAAATAGGAAGGAAGACAAAACAGTGAGGTTTTATTTCTGCAGAGGTGTTTTAATCAGAAATTTTTTTTAAGATCCAGAGATGTGGAGCTTGAATTCCTTTCACAGAGGAATTGTAGGAAATGGGCATATCTTTGAAGAGAATGGGAGTGTTGGGGTTGATATGTCTTCATTAATGTAAACTCTTTTCTTCGGCATCCTGATGAACCTTGCCTTCAAAAGCTGAAAGTCAGTCTTTGTGTGCTACTAGAAATTGGTACACAGATGAGCCTTCCTGTGGAAGTGAAGCCTGTGTGGTGATGTATCATCAGCCAACTGCAAACCCTGGTCTTGGAGGGCCATACCTTTATCAGTGGAATGATGATAGATGCAACATGAAGCACAATTTTATCTGCAAGTATGCACCAGGTAGGTGAAGCTGAAGTTATATTTCGCAGGTGGGAGATTATCTTAGAAAAGGAATTGCCTCTTGTTTTGTGAGGGAATCCGCATGTGTCTTGTGGCCTGTGGTACTGGTTCCTTTGGTGTATGCCTGAGGTGACATTAATAGGGGATTTAATATGTCAATAATAATTAATTAAAATAAATTTAAATAAACCTGTTCATATCTGATAAGAATGTTTTCAATGTTAGCTTCACTATCATGCATTCCAAGGTTTACTTTGGTTTAGCTCATTCCCTAGATATTTTATTCTCTACAAAGTGTTTTCAGTAGCTATTTTCTCCTTCCCTTGCTTGCTACAAAGTAGGAAGACCAAGACGTCTCTTGATCCTCCTGTAGTCCTGGTAGTTGCAGACTTGTCATTTTATACCAACTTGTGTGATGGTTGTTTCAAAAAGTTTTGGCTTGAGGAATGAAGTCCAGAACAGCAGGAAAAAAGATCTGCATTTATGCATGTAGGCTTATAGATATGAAAAGCAGATGCATGCTAGTTGAGATGGTGACAGAAAAAGCCAGATCTTAGGCAATTTGGCTGTACTTCCAGACATGACATAAGTTCTGTATATGTCAGTAGAGGAAACATGAACTATAAACTAGAACATTATGCAAAAACAGAAAGGATGTGAAAAATCAACTTTCAAGACTGAGTTTGTAACACTTTCTACTCTTGGTGGTACTTGCAGTAAACGAAACCATGTTTTTCAGCTGGATCATGCAAATATTTTAAAATAATTTGTGGTTTCTTTATGAGCGGATATCACTATGTTATGGTGATCAGTTACTACCTTCATCTACTATAGGACCCTCAAGGAAACGAGGCATATGCGATTTTAATCCCTTTTTCAACTGCTCACAATTATTTTGAAACAAGATAACATATTAAAAATGTTTTGCGTTGTTAAAATATCATTTTTATGTCAAAGTTCAGGCTTGATTAAAAAGGCTCAGTTTCAAGTATATTTCATATCTTTTAAAGCAAACAAATTTAAGTGAAATAATTGTTCTGTAAGAGTGAGCAACTTACCATTGTAGCCAAGATGTGATAAAGAATTGGTTTTTTTTTTTTTCTATTGCTTTCACCATCGGAAAGAAATCCAGGTATTTTGGATTGGCAGAAAATGCAGTGATAACAGTAACAATGAATTTGTTTCTTTCACTCTGTGGAAATAGATTACTATTGCATAATGAGGCATATAAGGCAAGCAATATATAGGTAGACTATTGTTAGGACTGACATTGTTTTGCAGCTAAATACTGCTGAATTGTGCTTATTTATTTTTCAAGCTGTTGGAATTGTGCTCTTTAGCAAAACAGAGTATTCTCCAGAAATGTATTTTTTGTCACACAGAGGAAAGGAGTAGATGCATAAATGTATATAAATAGATATATGACATTTTTTTCACTGCCTGAAGCAAATACCACAATGTTTCTAAGAAAATTACGTTTGTTATCTCAAACCGAGTGAGACTTACAAATGACCTTTTTTCCCCTCCCCAAATCACCATAATAGCTTCAATGTCAGCTATTTGCAGTACAAAATACATCCGTTTTACCAGGAGTGTAAAAGTGCCATGCGCATATTGAGTTTCAGTTTATCTGAGTATGTTGGTTTTCACAACCTTCCTGTCTGTATTGAGTATATAGTGTATGATACCAGTCACAGGCAAAAAAAAAAAGTTGTAGGTGACTGTGATGAAGTTACATCTAGTTGTATCAGCAGCAAGTTTAGGGCAGTGCATATTAGCAGCCTTGCTCAAGCAGCAGCTATGTTTCTGGTGGTCACTTTTTTTTCCTAAGGCCATTTTATAGTGCCTCCCTTGACCATTTACTGCTGCTTTAGGTTATATTGATCATTCAGCAATCTTAAATTTAATTATAGGTTGGTAATTGGAACCACATTTACTTCCTGTCCAGCTCCTATAGGTTTGATTAAGCAATCAAAAACTCACCTCCCTCTTCTGTTCTCTAGACTCTCTTCTGCTTTCTAGAGACAACAACTCAGGTTTTTTGGGTATTCAGCTATTTTTTTTATACCAGAGTAGGTGAAAAAATTACCTTTTTATAATATGCTTTGTTGCTGCTTTAATTTCGCCCAGCAGTTTGTGTTTGTCAAGACATTAGAACTGCAGGCTTATAGCACTATTAAGTTAGTATAGTCTTATGGTAAAGGAATGATGTTCAAAAATTCATGCAGATTCCACTCCTATCCCTGATATGAGAATTCATTATGTAATCTTCATAAACTTTTAGTTGTAACAATAGCCATCAGTAAACTTGCAAACCTCTGCACTGTAGCTGAAATTGATTGATTCTCCATTTTTTGATATATTACAGGAAATTCAATATTATCATTCCTCTTTTAGTGATTTGACTTCCTTATCTAATTTATTAGATACCATGATTTGGATTTTAGGGCTGCTTGTTGCAAAGTCAAACTACATGAAGCTGACATCTGACCTCACAAACTTGTGCTGCTTTGTTTCACATCATAGCCAATAAGCATTATTTTGCAAATGTGAACAAGATATGTGGTAATCATAGCGGTAACCAAGAAAACTTATTTTCTTACATTGTTTATCTTCGTCTGCACCAACAGAACTTTGAATATGTTAGGAGTTTACTCAGCTCAAGAAACTAGGCTATTTAGTAGTTTCTCCAGTAACCTAGCAGAGGCCAACAAGAATTGAAACTAGAATAAACTATAGTCCTTTTCTAAGAAGCAAAAAGTATGGACTAGAAGTGATGTGTCACTAGTTTGAAAATAGTCTTTGGTAAAAGATAAAATGCTGAAGAATTAAGCAGTTACTGTTTTGGGGAATGTATCTATTTCTGTGATACTGCATGCAAAATAATGAAAACATCTGTTTTATTGCACATATGTTTTTATTCTTCAACAATCGATTTCAAATATTGATTTAACAGGTAATGTCTTAGAAAAAGAATTAGGAGACAGAGCGGAGCCAGATTATGGTAAGAAATTTTGAAACATTAAATTGAGTTGCAATGGCAAATACGTAATTACAACGATAGCTTACAAGAACCTCCAAAATTACTCAAGTTTAACAGGCACAGTTTAGAACTGGAACATAAGAAAAATTAATCCTTTAGAGAGCAAGAGCTATAAATATATAGATATTGCTTAGAATAGCACTGCTCATAATTCTTGTTCCAGATGTAATCCCAATTTTGCAATAAAATCCTGTTTACATGTATATATCCAGCAGTGTGATAAATCATAGTGTTCATTCTTCCAATATAAATTAAGATGCAACTGCCATTAATTTACTTAGCAACATAACAGCCATATTTTTTACTCATTATTTTCCTAAAATGTCTGATATCCTTTTCAGATGTTTTTCCAACAGTGCCAGCAGGAAATCCTTATGACACAAGCAAACCAGAAGATCAGTATCATATTATTGCTACTGAAACAGGTAATGTGTTCATATGAGGTTGGGGTTCTGGGAAAAATGTTAACAGTGGACTCTGTTAAATGAATCTGTAACAATTTCTGTTGTTAGAGGGAGGAAGCAGTCTATTTCCCCAGGAAGTGCCCTGAAAATCTATACATTTGAATAATGTTTCAAGGGGTTTAATTGTAACTTTCTAACCGTGGAAACAAATTATTTCTTTGTCTCCCCAAACTTTGACCTAAATCTGCAGTTTAGTAGTCCTTGAAATCTTCAGTGTTGTCTCTGTTGAGATGCAAGACTTCAGTGTCCATCCAGCTGTGGAGCACCTCCTTCTAGGCTGTGGTAACCAGTGCTTTGCCTCTCTTCATCTCCTACCCACCTCTTCCTCAATGTGTATTTTATATCTGATACCTGGGGCTCACAAAAAAAGGCACAGATGAGTGTTTTTAACAGAGGTCAGGAATTTTTCCATTATCTGCAGAATAAACACTGTGCCATAGCTCCCCCCAGTACCTTGTGTTTTAAGGAATACCACGTGCTAAGAAGAGTTAAGTGCTTTGCTGAGATACCTAGCAGAGATGACACATGATATTTTGCAAATTGATGCCTACTGCCTAGGTGCTTGCTGTAATGCCCCTAGCTACTTCATTTAGGAATGTAGTCCTGAACCTAGTCCTGAGGTTCATGAAGAGAAGCATGGCCTTAGTTCAAGGAACTGAACATCTTTAAGGAGCAGCTCTGGATTTTACAGGACTGCAGCCTGGGATTATGGAAGTCTGGTGCTGTTTCTGCACCGGTTGTCTGGATTTGAGCCAGCTTCATAACTAATGTATCCATTGTTTATAAATCCAGAAGAATTGATGTATTGATGATCTGTGTTTTGAAATCATTGGTATACAAACCATGAAAAGACTCTCTATCTAAAAGTCATAAACAAATCCAACCTGAACATTCACATTTATTCTTGCTAGTGAAAAATATTTTCAGAATTGGACAATGGATAAGTAACTCTACACAGTTTTTGTGTTAATGTATACTGGTATAAAACATGGGCATATAGTAGTGAAAAACAGTTGGACTCTTCTGGAAGTTACAGACCCCATCCTCTATTGTAGACAAAAAAATGGAGTCTCAACTTGTACCATTTCCCACTCCTTTTGTCCAGGGACCTGCAGGAGAGCAACTTTAGCTCTCCTGATTAGTCAAGGAGAGTGTATATCTGTCTCTTAAGGGGAAAGGGAAGACAAGAGTCTGATCTTGTGGTCCTGCATGGGTGGGAATCCAGCATACAAGAGCACCTGGGTCTAAAGGTTTTATGGACTGTAACAATAATAGGCTTTGAAATGTACTGTGTTAAAATACTTGAATTTTCAATTACCAAGTCAGAAATATCACATTGCATATAGAAAATTTAGAATTTAACACCTTAAGTTTTGCATATTGCTGGAGAAGTACTTCTTGATACTGCTGAGTTCTCATCGGAGCTCTTCCAATAGAAGGAATGTATAGGTGTTCTTTTGTATAAGTTAATATATTGCTGATAGTTTACTCCAGGTTTTTACTCACATGGTTAAGAGTACTTCAGCATGGGATATATTAATGAGAACTTTTGTCTTGTAGGTATAATTCCAAATTTAATCTATGTTGTAATACCCACTATACCACTACTGCTGTTGATACTGGTGGCTTTTGGGACTTGCTGTTTCCAGATGCTTCATAAAAGGTAAAATATACTCATCCATGATGGTCTTAAAATGCAGAATTCATATTTCCATTGGCAAGCTATTCATACTGAAAAACTGCTTACATCTGTCCCCAAATATGCAAATAAGCATCTTTTCATCTATTAAAATCCATGCAGTTTACAGCTTTTGCAGCTGGACATTCACCTTCAGGCTTTTCAACACATGATGAAACAAGTCCAGGTCTCAAAGTATATTGCCATTAGGACTTCACCTGTTTCTGAAATAGTTCTCTTTGAAGGCCATTTGGTAGGTTGAGCTATTGTCTGCACTTCTATTTCATGTCTTCCATTTTGATTGTCACCTCTATGGCATCTGGGCTGTGGGAAATAGCAGTGGGGGCTTCACAGATACAGGGTGAACTCAAGGACTTGCCTTGCTTTCTGACCTAATGTGCAGTTTGTTCCAAGAATAAACCTAAGGGCCAGCAGCTGCTTAATGCTTTTTTCACTGCACATATACATACACATACACAAGCAACAGATGTGGACCACTGAAGCAGAGGAGTTAATTGAAAACAAAAAGCAAAACTTTTGGTTTTGTCCACATGCCAATGATCCTTTGTACATCGTGTATCTGCTAAAGAAGATGCATAAAGTAAATAGAGATGTGTACACAGATGTAGTTTCAATCAGATGTATTATTATGCAAAGAGGAAAAATTTGAACCTATGAAAGAGAATGTTTTGATCCATGCTTTTAAATTCTTTGGACTTTTCAGCTTTCTTGAGATACGAAATACCAAGATAAGACAACATAAAATTTGTTGTTTTTTTTTCCTGAACTAATCTTGCTGAAACTTTCAAGGATCTTTTCAATCCTTTTTTTTTTTTTTCAGGAAGTGTTCTCAAGTTAATGTAATCCAGAGAGGTTTAAAATAAAATGTTTTATAGATAAATGCTATTTTGGTAAAATATCAAGAGTAATAGATTGACAAGCTTTTATCCCTCTTGAAGAGCAGAAATACTAGTAAGGAACATATTATTGCTATTTTAAGAAGTCAGAAAAGAAATCTTACTTATTTTTCATCTTTGTTTTCTTTGTGATTTTTAGTCAATTATTTTTTTTGTCAATAGCTGAAATGCCTTATTTCAGGTGAGGAAGCACTTCAAATGTGATGCTTGTTTCTCTCTGTAAGAGTGAGTCTACAGTGATATTCACAGCACTCCTTAGTAATGAGTCTCATTGAAACAAGTAATCATGAAGAGCAGGTATTATGAGGTCTGTATCATAAACTGGATTGCATCTTTATTTTATATGCTTTCCTATAAAGAAAAGGAAAATGTGCCCTTTCCCACATGCCTTAATGTCAGGCAAATACATGCTTGTGAAAGGTTCTATCCAAACAGCACTGGGGCTGGAGAAGGTTGGAAATTCAAAGCTAAAAATAGTAGTTAGTAAAGGAATAATATGCATAACAATAGCAATTATATAGTAATTGTAATCTGGAACCTTATTACAATGACTCTGGATTTCCTGGTAAGTATGGTGTATTCATAGCTTTTCTGGCAGCTCTTTCTCTCCCCAGAAGAGTTTCAGTTCTCAAATACTCCTGGGAAAAAAACTGAGAAGTTCATGGCCCACTGAAATCAATAGAAGTAGTGGAATTGACTTCAGTGGGCTTTGATCAGGTCTTTGATGCTATAGCAGTTCATCCAGAAGTAAGTCACCTGAACTTCTAAGACTTCAGAATTGCATGACTCAGATATTGGAAATTTGCCTTGGAAGAATGTACTTTTCTGTTAGCTGATTAGTTTGGTAGATTAAGTGATACAAAAATGAGGAGGAAAATATTGAATGAAAGGAGGAGTTTTCTTTTTTATTGCTTGTTTGATGGCTTTTTTTTTTTCCAGGATGCTCATTTTGGGTTGCATCAAAGTTTTTTTTTAAGAAAATTGAACTTTTTTTTCTTTTAAGGAAAAATTAATGTAAGTCAAAAGAACTATCACCAAAAATGAAGTATTTTCTTTATCTGTTTAAACAGATAAAAACCTTTTAAAAAAATCATTTCTCCAACTATTTTAAATTTTATTTCCACTTATGACCCACCTTGCAAATAATTTTGATTCATCACAAATATGCAATTCTTGGGAATAATGCAAATGAAAAGAAAGAGGCAACCACTTGAACTGATCATCTGGATACTGTAGAGTTTCAGGATAGAGATTCTGGCCTGCTGGGGAAGGAGGGATCCCCACCTTTCCACATGAACCTGACTTCTTATTCTTTTTTAGGCTTCCACAACATGGTGACCTTTCCTCTGAAAGCCACAACCCATGGCCAACCAGGACATGCCTAGCTTGAAAGGTCATGACTAATTTTGCCTGGTGTTGGGCTCTTAAAGGGTAGTAATGAGGCCAAGCAAAACCTCATCCCTGTAGCTAGCAGAACTGATCAGTTCATTCATGCTTAGATGCTCTCCCTTTCATTTCTTCCAGGGAAGCAAGGAGAAACTGCTTCAAAGACCCATCTCCATTATCATCTGAATGCCTTGCAGAAAGTTTAAATTCCAACCTGGTATATTTCTCAGTTTCTATGATTGCATTTGGTGGTCAAAACAGCAATATGCTCAAGCTATTTATTTCATCTTCCTTTTCCTTTCTGACTAAAACCTATTTCCTGAACCAGATGTACAGCTGGTGAAAATCAACATAAGTTTGCTGAAGATAAGCTTATCTTATACAAGTTCTGATCCACGGTATTTAGAAATTGTTCCTGCTGTGTGGCAAGGACTCTCCATTCAAAGCATTTCATCATTAATTTACCAAATATGCCTGTTTTTGCTGGATTAATCTGGAAAAATAGTAAGAAGCAGCTTCTTTCTTAAAGAAAGAACTGAAACTACTTGATTCATTGCAATTGCTTTGTTTTATAGCATTGTGGCCTGATCTAAAGTCCACTGAAGCAAATGGGAGTCTTTTCAATTACTCCAATGGGCTCAGGTACATAATGCATTACTTTATAGCACTTCAGAGGTAAGTCTGGAGGAACTAAAAACTACTGTATCATTCAGCTCCTTCAAAGTACATTTTAAATCAACTCAGGCTCACTTGATTTACACACCAGGAAAGGGGTAAAACTGAATATATAAGACTGCTGGGACTTTCAGGTTTCCAACTTATGATGTTGTGTAGGGCTACTTTTCTGGCTTTCACTTAATTGAGGGGAGGGGAATCAGTGTGAAATATTCTAGCCAGCAACTAAAACATTTTGATTGAAATGCAGCTGCAGTGGCTCATGAAGTGCCTCTTCTTTTCTGTAGACTGTGATGTACACCTGTCAATTTAAGTGAGGGAAGGCCATGTGTTGCAGCAGTAGTGAGGAAAGACTGCCACCAACTTGTGAAGTACCTCAGGACTCCCTGTAAACATTCAAATGAACACTTCTGTAATATTGCAGAGCAAATACTTTTGTAACCAGATTTATCTTTTTTTGTCTGAAAAAAACCTGAACATGCAAACACTATTGACAATTTTGAATGAAAACTAGCCTAAGGAAGCTTTCTACCAGCCATTCATTGCTAAGAATCTGATTCATGCATCATTGCTTCATTAGGCATCAGGTCAAGCCCTCAAGGGAAGAGGCTTTCTGGCATACCGATACGCACTGGCACCTGTTAGTGTACTGGGGTCACAGATGTGCAGGTGCAGGATGCATATGGGCAGTGTTGTGGTCCCTCCCCGGGCTGGGTGGGCTGTGCTCTGAGCACCTTGGGCATGGGCTTGGGAGTGTGTGTGCTGTGGTCCCCTGTACATCTCCCCAGACAAGGGGAAGCACTCAGCCTCCCACAACCCTGGTCAAACTTTGTCCACACCCATCTCTGAAAGGTATGGTTCAATGAGAACCAGAAAAAAAATCCAGCAAAAGTAAAATACAGGAAAATAAAATAAATAGGGGCCAAGTCAGTACAGTTCCTGGGAGTAGTGCTAAGCAGGATAGTCTGGTAACTTTGCTAACAGTTGCTTACCTCAACTCACTGCTATGGTGCCATTGTGGATTGGGAGCCTATGCTGTAAAAGCAACAAAAGTGGTCTTCAAATAGGGGTTGAAACACTCAGGCTTGATCACAAAACTGAATCAGTACTGCAAAGGCACACATGCACTGAAAACAGTTTATATTTTTATTTTTCAGTAAAGAAAGAACAGAAACCAGTCCAAACCAGTCAACACTGTGGATTTCAAAGACTCCTAGGAAGGACAGTAGCATGGAGGTATAATGATTTACTGACTGAAAACAAAGCAGAAAAACCATTTTGCAGTGATGCTGTATTATAATGTCGTCAAAGAACATTAGCTTGGAATGGCTTGAAAATGCAAAGGATCTACAAGAATGAATTGTAAGCTCCCCCTTGAGGCAAATGTTCAGATCATTTTTATATAATGTTTGTTTATTAATTCAGTAACAAAATATGCCATGCTAAATAAAGGGTATGTGTTTATTTTGCTAAGAGATGTAAGTTAGCTAGTCGTGAACGATGAAATGAACAGAGCATTTGACATTTTTGTGGGGAAATATCAACAATGTATATCAGTTTTAAGACTGTTTGTAGTTAAACTCTTTGTTTTCTTTAGTCTCTCATGCATTGTAACCTAGTTGATGTACTGTAAATGGAACTGACAATTTTACAGTGTAACAATTATTTATCTTTGCATAAAAGTTTGATACAAAATATTTGGTTAGTATTTATTTGCACACTAAACACACTTTTGGATCCCCAGGCACTAATTTTATTAATTATTACCATGGTTGCCGACAGAGGTAGCCACCATGTTGTGACATCAACCTGATGTGGCAAAGTTCAAGGATTCATTGAAGTTGTTTGCTGTCTTTTCATGCTTTGATGGAGAATGACCAGAGCTTTTTTATGTACTGGTCCAAGGTCAACAAATAACTTTGCAAATGATGCCTCATTGGTGAGGTGTCCTTTGAAGGCAGCCATTAGTTAACTAAAGTATTTTTTTCGCTTTTTGAAAGGAAAAGGAGTTTAAGATTAAATTTACTGTTTCAGTGAGTCTATATAAAAAAGATACTAAAGATCATTTAAATATAGTTTGTCAGTAATAATGTAAAGTTGGAACACAGAAGACAAATGTCTTCTCTTGGAAGTGGCACTAAGAGATTGAGCCTAACATTTCTCAGACTATCTGGAAAAGCATTAATTATGTTAATTGATAGACATATTTAGAGGTAACTGTGATGCATTTAACATCATCTTTCAGAGTTATGATTAACATCATTAATGTCCATTTACTTTGATTCCTTAAGAGCTTTCTGTGCCTTAAGAATGGTTTTACCAGCCATTAGGAGCAGACCTGGGGTGGTGGCAATAGCACTCTGGCTGATTTGTAAGTGACTGTCTGGTGCTATAGCAGAAAGTTAAGGGCTTTTACTACAGTTGCAGCCAGAGTTCAAGAGCATGAGTTCAGCCTTGTTGGCTTTAACACACATTCACAACTTCCACTGGGTGGATGTTGGGGAAAAATCGACCGAAACAAAACCGTATTCCTCTTTGTGCTGCCTACACTGTGCTGGCTGAAGTTAACTACGGCTATGAGATCAAAGACAAATGTACATCAGTTTTTCTGGTGAAATCAGTTTTTCTGAAAAGAAAAATATTTGAAAGTTCAATACCACTAATACTAATTGTGCAAGTAGTTGCTGAAGCACTTTTGGAAGCATCTTAAAGTTGCTGTTATGCCATGTTTTTACTTCCTCTTCAAAGAAGCTGCTCTCTGGACTTCAGGTTAAATATTGTTATTCCTATTGTTATATACTACTTAAAGTACTTTATAATTTTTCCAGTCAGTCACAAATTCTTTTTTTTTTCATCCCCTACTTCAATTTCCATTTGTAGTGAGAAAATACTATGATCCTGCATGATCAGCAAGACCAGAATTGTTTTACTCCTGACACAAGTATTGCTTAACTCAGCTTGAGGGCAAGATAGACCTCTTTCTTGGGAACAATTATGGTAAAAAGAACTCAATTCATTTTTATGGTCTTGAAGGATTAACTCCCTTTAGCTTAATTTAAGAATAAACTATTGCTTCTTACTTCATGCTTCCGAAGGATGTCTAAAGGTATTGCAATTGCTATTATAGTTAATGCAGCAGAAGTGATTTCCATGCAGCAATTAGAATGTAAACACCTTCAGATGTGTTTCTTACAGGCTGAAAGTGATTCCTGGGCACTTATCAGAATGGACCAGTCTTAACTCTGTGATGGCAAAAGGGAAAGTGTTATGCAGTGCTTTTATTCTATTGTACTCAGGTTTTATGTATAAATAAGAAATATTGGTTATTGGGAAAAAATATTTCCATATCACATTCTTATGAGAAGGAAATTATTTTGTTCCTTGTATTTCCTTCACTTAGGAAGTTGTTCCTAGATACTAGGTAAAATCTGTGAAAACTTAAGAATCTCTACAGAGAGATCTGGACTGACTTGATCAATGGGCTGAGGACAACTGCATGAGGTTCAATAAGGTAAAGTGCTGGGTCCTGCATTTGGGGCACAACAACTCCATGCAGCATTACAGGCTAGGGGAGGAGTGTCTTGAGAGTTGCTTGTTAGAAGGGGACCTGGGCGTGCTGGTGGACAGACAGCTCAATATGAGCCAACAGTGTGCACAGGTGGCCAAGAAGGCCAGTGACATCTTGGCCTGTATCAAGAATAGTGTGGCCAGCAGGACTGTGGAGGGGATCATCCCCCTGTACTCAATGTTGGTGAGGCCACATCTCGAGTACTCTGTTCAGTTTTGGGCTCCTCAATCAAAAAAAGGATATTGAGGTGCTGGAGTGAGTCCAGCAAAGGGCAAAGAGGCTCATAAAAGGTCTAGAACACATGTCATATGAGGAACGGATGAAGGATTGAGTTTGCTTAGCCTTGAGAAGAGGCAGCTCAGGGGTGACATTGACTGCAGCTACCTCAAAGGGGATTGTAGAGAGATGGGGGATGGTCTCTTTTGCCATGCCTGCAGTGAGAGAACTAGAGGGAACGGCAATAAGCTGAGATGGGAGATTCAGATTAGATGTTAGGAAGGATTAATTTTTTTTTTACTGTTAGGGCAGTCAGGCACTGGAAGAAATTGCCCAGGGAGGTGGTGGAGTCACCATCCTTGGAAGTGTTTGAGCTATCTGGATCTGATGCTGGAGGATATTGTTTAGGGGTTACTGCGGAGTGGCAGACTACTTCAACCTTGATGATTCTATGATTTTATGTAGAAGACTGCAAACATTTCACAGATGGAACTTAGTCTTATGATCTCCACCTTTAGGCTGGTGATACTTTTCTATGCAAAACATAAAAATCTCATACATACAAATTTTTTCATTTCCATTAGGTATTAGGAAGAAATTCTTACTGTGAGGATGATGAGGCACTGTAACAGATTTCTCAGAAGCTGTGGATGCCCCATCCCTGGAAGGGTTCAAGGCCAGGTTGAATAAAGCTTTGAGCAACCTGGTCTAGTGGAAGGTGTCCCTGCTGATGGCAAGGGGGTTGGAACTGGATGGTCTACAAGGTCCCTTCCAACCCAAACCATTCTATGATTATTTCCCTTTTTTACACACACAAAAGGGAGACAGGAGTAAGGGTAAAAGAGTAAAGGAGGGAACATTGGTGTACTTGCAGAGACCTCAACCCTGGTTTATTCACATTAAAATCTAAGAGTGAAGAAAGAAAAACTATTTCCAATTTCACCGACAGATTTCGTCAACTAGACCCACTTTGAACAAGCTTTTTGGCTTTTATGTACAGCCAGGGGGTCCTGTTGCAGTGACTACATTCCCTTCTGCTCACTGCCTCAGTCTCTTTCCAAGGGCAGCAGTAGGTGAAGTGAGGAACTGAAGGATGAGCAGTAGACCTTAGCTAGTCCTCTGCCGTATGGCTTCAGTTTGGTATTTCAGAAACATCATATTCCCATCCACCCCTGTTTTCCCCAGGGAATATAATTATATTTTTTCTATAGTGATCTTGGCCTTTTGCAAACAAGAAGCATCTGAGAGAGAAAACTCTTGTTGCCTTCTTTTATCTCATAACCTTTTATTTCAGGGGTGCAAGCAAGTGTAAGCTCAAGCTTCCATTCTCTGTTTCAAAGCATCTTGGAACTGTAACTCAAATGAAAACAATCCATTCTACTCAAGTGTTTTAACATAGTATTGACTGGTTTCTTCACAGGTTACTATGAAGGCAACTGAAGTCATGGGTGATGAATGAAGGCTAGAATGTGGTCGACTCAGGTTATGTTAGTTTCATCTAGACATAAAGTAGTTGAAATAAGATGATCATTTTGAATTACACTAGTTTATATTACATATGTGTTTCCATACTAGACTTTATAATAGGAGACTTTATAGTCTGATAGGATGGTTTATCAATGTATGCCTCAGATGCATCTATGCTTTGCATTTTGGGAAGCAAAAATTAGACTCAAAAGTATATTACTCCATTTCTGGGAACCACTTTTGCTTTGAGCTGGCTTTTGCATTTCATTAAGAGACTGAAACAGGATGTACAGTAGTGATGTATGGTATTTAATGCAGAAATCATGTCACATTTTAATTAAGCATTTTAATCTAATTGCTTCACCCAAATCAATTTATACTGATAGCAGAATACATTTTATATTCAGAGGAACAGAAGAAACAGTGGTCCACTATGAAAGATAGAATTTTCAACTTTAATGTTAAAAACTGTGTGTTTTATATGAGAGAATGTGTCTAAAACACCTTTTTACTTTCTCTCTGGCTAAATTACATTTGTCTGTGTTCCTTGTGATCACAGATATCTTGATGAAGCTACATATTTTGGTCTGGACTTAGTTCTCTAATGCTTATAAAGACCTGAGAACAGTTTAGGACTTTGTTTTTTATCGGTGACCACTAATGTGTGTTTGTAAGCAAGCCTTGTATTTTGGGCACTTCATATCTGGATTAAGTGTTGTAAGGACTGAATCCAGGAGCCTCTTACAAAAAAATCATACATCTATGTTTATATGTGTAGATACACATTCCAGTAAGTGAGAATGCAGTTTGTATTTCTGATACTGTGGAATTAAAAATACATTAAATTCCTACATCAGATTTAAAACAGAAATGAAGTGCATTGTATTACACTAAGAAGCTATAGAATTTAAGGCATTTCAACAAATAGGAAATTATATTTTAATAGAAACTTATTTATAAAAGAGCTTAAGAAGATAAAACCCTTTACTGTTTTCATATCCTTTCCCCTTTAAAGTGCTATAATAAACTACCCTGATAGTTTTTATACAAAGTACAAAATCTAAATTTAAAGTCACCAGTACAGAAAAAGCATGGAACAGAAAAAACAATAGAAGTCCTATTACTTTTTATTCACCAGGAAGAGCTGGTACTAATTATTGGCAGGTGTGTCTAAAAAACATAACTTTTTATGAGAGGAACTTGCAGTATTGTGAGCACATATCTGTAATTGAATAATTGCCAAAACACTTGCCTAGAAAGAAAAATAAAAACTGTATTCAATCCTTATTTAACTCTATTAATTCCAAGTGAATTAACACAAGAGAGAAATGTTGGCTTTCATTCAATTTATTCATTAGAAAGCAGCATGATACATGGTCAACCTTTATGCACAATCGATAAACTGCATTCTAGAGCTTTTTGTAATAGGCAAGACAGAGGAACCTCCCATGAGCCTAGTTAAACAGATACATACAATGAAGCATACACCTTCATTTTGATATGCAGAGATATTACTGAAAAGAGTTGACTATGCATTAAAATGAAATCCACATTGAAAAACAGTCTAAAACAATATAAACAGAGATAAAGCCAGGTAATATTTCACCTGATATTATTAATTTTTATTATTTTTCACTAAAGCATTTGCTGTTTGAAAAATTTAAATTTTTTTACTGCCCATGCTTTGTAAAGCCCTCCACTGTGCATTAAATGCACTGGGTGTTCAAAGAAATGGTTTCCCCATGGTCTCATATAAAAGAAAAAGTAAAATGATAAAACTGTTTATTAACAAAACCACAGCATCTATTTTGAAACATTGCTCTCAAATGGAAACAGTTGTTATTAATATTTTCCTCCCCAATATTTGAATATTTATTCAGTTTATCTGTGAGATTGAAGTACCAGTCTGGTTTATATCATTATACAATGGCTTATATTTAACCTTTAAATTCCATTTCTATCATTAAAAATCATCAAGGTAATAGATGGTTTTTTTGATCCAGTCCACAAACATGGTGACTCGAACATACACTCCTGGTCGTTGGGGAAGTGCACACTTATAGCCAAATGATGTTACACCAACCAAAAACCACTTGTTGCCATCTTCAAATGTCAGAGGCCCACCTGAATCTCCCTGCATTAAGAAATTCAAAAGTTAAAAGTGAATAGTGTCAAATCTGAAGCAGAGCCTGTTTATGATATGTTGTTCCTTTTGATCCTTAATCATACATGTTGTATCCCTATATGTTTTGGGCACCAGAAGTGAGATCAATATGAATATTTCCATTAAAAAAAAAACCAAACTGTGAAATGATCCTTTTTTTTTTTTTTTTTTTTTTCTTTTTAAAGGATGTGATCTTAAACTCTTACTAGTCTTTCAATACAGGACTGGTTTCAAGTGATTTTTTTTTTTTATTCTTTTGCTTACTAGTTTTACATTCAACCCTTTGTCTTTCACAAAGCCTGGGTGTAAATGCATAGGATTTTTTTTTAGTTGAATGTATTCAGCCAAAATACAGTTCTATTTTCAGTCATCCCAGAATTTCTGCAGTTTCAAATTTAGAGAAATAGGTGACAAGATTTCCAGAAGATGTGTCCTTTTCTCACACCTCCTTCTCACTAGGTTAGCAGATGTAGCATTACAACAGTGGCTGAATCTGACTCATGCCACAGCCTGAGCAGGGGAATAGTCAGCCATGAGTGTGTTGTTTTGATGCAAAAGAAAACAATGACTATTTTTCATTGCCTATCAAGCTAGTTGAGCCAGTATTAATTGTGTCTTCTCATGACCCCGTGAATAGCTCTTTATGGGTGAGTTCTGCAAGGACTCAGCCATTAAAATACTTCTGCCCATAACTCTAGGGCATCCATGAATGTTCAAAAGCTCTGACAGCAGCCTAAAGGGGGAACTGCTATCAGGACTCATTCATCTTTGCTCATGGCTGAATAGTCATTGATCACAGCACCGGTCACTTGTACTCTGTATCAGCCTGTGGTGCAACACTGATTTTTTTATTTTTTTTTTTTTGTGTCAATATGAGGTTCAGATGGCTAACAGGAAAGAGGAAAGCCACAGAGGGAAGGAACGTTAGTATTGCACACACTCCTCCTATATTTAACTAGCCAAAGTAAATGCACCTGATGAAGCCTTAAGTTGGAAGGGCAAGGCAAGAACAATTATGTGAGAGTGCTCCTCATCAGGCTTAAAGGAGAACCAGCTGGTCTCCATGCCATAGACTCCATATTGCCAGAAGAGGAATTAGGTGACAGCCAGCTCTGAGCACATCCTCAAAGAGAAGCAGTGTTTTATTCACAGAGCTGGAATGGATGAAAACTAGACCCTCTGGAAGCAATGTATATATCAGTGCAGAAAGACAGCCTCTCTAAAATACTGTGGCATCTACTTACAAGTCTCCAGAGTCTACTGATTCTGGGGAAAAACATCATTGCTCTCTCTTGCCCTTCATGAAGCACTTCTGAGACTTCAGTCTATTTGGTATTTGTTTATCTGTGCTCTGCATTTCCATAAGCATGTCCCTCTCTTCATGGAATGACTCAGCAGTTATTATTCAAAGCTTAGGGCAGAAAATTCCAGTCCTCATATTTATCTCCCTCCATGGTTGTTTATGCCAAGATGACACAAATAAGATTTTTGTATTTTACAAATTGTGTCCTGATAAATGGGCAAAATACTGTGAGTAGAAACTACATTCATGGACAGTGATTGTCCTGGTTTGAATGGCTGATGCATCAGGGACCATTTTATTTGTTAACTAGATGTAGCGTATGCTAGCAGACAAAATGAGTTACTTGTATTTACCTGACAGGAATCTATTCCTCCCATGTCATATCCTGCACAGAGCATATTCTCAGTAATACTATACTCTGGCATCCGTTGTTGGCATTTTTCATTCGAAATGAGAGGGACCTCTGCTTCTTGCAATATGTTTGAAGTGGGACCTGATGAAAATACAAAGTACATTTACCTGCAGCAATAAATATGTACATCCCACTTGGAACACTGAAGGTTTTGTTCCTGTTCCAGCATGCTGAGCATGCTACTGAGCAGAAAGAAGCTGCCTCACTGCTGTACTATTCAGGTTTATGCTCCTGTAACAGTCACTGATTAAATGGTGCTTGTTAACTGAATCCTGTCTCTCCTTTGTGTAATGGGACTGAATTTGGTTATAATTAAATCAAGATTACTAAAATCAATGTGTATGAACTCACTGTGGGGAGATCTAAGGGATAATTAAGGGTTTAGGAGCATGGATTGTCCAGTGTTTCCTCACTGTTCATTGTACAACTTTGAGTATTCTAAGTTTTTATAAAAACTTCTTTTAGTGATTCCTACCCAAAACTTAAAATGTAATTTTATTCTGAAAATGTAGAAGGCAATGCATTCAAACAACTGTGGAAGTGAATGGCATGTTTATTGTTTCACAGAGACTCAAAATCTGGAGCATATGACATAGAAACAGAACATACATTTGTCACTGCACTCAGTATGCCTGACTTCTGGGGAAAATCATTTGCACATTGTCAGACTAATTTTCCTTCTCCCCCACCCAGTATCTGGAAATAAGATGTGCATATTTCATGTTGAGAAAGGTAGTCTTCATAAGCTTTAAGGGGATGTAATAAGGTTTCTTCATAATTTTACAAACTTAAAGATATTTTTTTCTAATAAACATAACTCTATCACTTTGCTTTAGAGAAGGAATGGTGGAGTGGGATAGTTCCCATATTTTCATATGGAGAAGTATCTCCCTAAACTATTTGACCTTAGAATCAGGACCAAGCTTTCCCTCACAGCTGTGTGCCTGTCATAATTTTCCAAGCAGATTACTCACCTTCATTCATAATATTACCCCAGCCAGCAATGGAGCAGTTAATTCCTGGTGGAAACTGTTGGTTTTTTTCTGGTAAACAGATTGGTTGTATGTAATCTGTGAATGAGAAACAAGCAAAAAATTTCAGCCTCTTCCCCATACCCAGGTTTTTTTGAAGTCACATAAGAAAATGTTCATTAATTCAAATCCACTTTTTGGGCAAGGTATCCAGGAAGTACTTGGCTGACTCCAGAATGATTAGGTTGTAACAAACATACAGCCATCATATGCTTAGCACAGTTTTTGCATATTAGAGTAAATCTGGTTTATGAGAAAATAACAACTCACCTGTATATTGCACTTTGTGTTGAAGATGCATTAGAGCAATATCACTGTCTTTTGTTTCCTTCATGTAATGAGGATTTATAATTATGCGATCGATGTTTCGAACTGCTGTTGAAGGTTGTGTCATATCTGATTGAGCATACAAGCCAAGAACTGCTTGCCATCGAGATGGTTTTAATTGCCTCCTAGAAGTTGCAAGAAGTATTCACAATTATGAATAATTAATGAAAGTTTTGAAAAATAGGTGTTAGATAAAATGCTGATCTTTAACCTTATGGTAATTCATAGCATTTGCACATTTATTTATTTTGTCAAAATAAATAGAATGTAGGAGATGTGCTTAAAATTTTGTGATAGTAATACTATCCAAAACATCCACACTGCAGATATGTGTAGATTTTTTTATGGTAAGCTTATAATGTATTATTTATAATGAATTAATCAGATAGTGGTGCAGGGGAGCAAAATGCATTAACTAAATTCCTATGGCTTTTTAAACACCATGAAGAATACTGCTGACTATCCACCAAGCAATTAATACTGGCTCAGTTAGAAAATGATAATGAAACATCTAAAGAATAATAGGTCTAAGATGTCACTAGAAAGGCTGCAGCTCATAACTCAGAAAATTGGTCTCTTAATTTTTATTAATCTAAATCAAAAAAAAAGGTATGCTAAGAAAAAATAGTAATCTGCATATTTTCCTGAGCTACACATGCTGGTTTGAGGCTGTATTTGTTAGAGAACTTAATTATTTGCTGTTGTTCAATCAACCAGTTTATAGTTTCAAAAACATGTTATACTGAATTGGTTTCTGCTTGTCTTTTGCTTTGACATGAAGAGGTTATTTTGCTCTAAACTAGGAGTGTTTAAATTAAATGTTCAGAATTTAAGTGTGAAACTGCAAGCTCCCATTTAGGAAAATTCTAGCAAAGTCAAGATGATCAAATTAGATTTAGGTGAAAATAGAAAGGTGAATGAAGAGAAAAGGAAGTACCAAGATAGGTATGGATTTATTGTGAGGAAACTAAGGGAGCTTGATCTTTCTCATTTTAGTGTCTTTGTGTACAATGTAGTTCCTGTCATGCAATGAGGCAGCATTACTGTTTTGGCACGGTCTCCACTGCCTTACTGCATAGCTATTTATAATCAAAGCTCTACTATAATTTTAAATGTTAATGTTTCTTTCTTTTTTTTTGCCATTCCAGTGTCTAGGTATCTTCTACATTTGTTTTTATTATAGATGTTATGAAAGCAAACTCTAGAAAATATTTAAATATGCATCACTTCCTTGACTGGTACAAATAGCACCATCTAGAGGATATCCAATATTACCTAATCAATGCACATAAATCAAGATTCATTCCAGTGATGCAAAGTAAATTTTGATCAATCTATGATAATGTACAGGAGGAACAGGCAACACTGGTTTACCTTTATGGGGTATGATGTCATCATACTTCTGGCAGGGATTCAACTATTTTATGGAAGCCCACATTAATTATGGATTAAGAACAAATGCTCAGTATATTGAAAGTGCAATTCTTTAGTGCTCAGAAAATGCTGCATTAAAGTAAAGACTGAGGATTTACCAGAAAGTAAAGGAGCATTAGCTGAGCCCACAAGTGATTCCAAACACAGTAATTAAACAGCTAGTTGTTAATTTTTTTATGTGTGTAACAACTTATTCATAATCTGTTGCCTCCTTAGTGAACTTGCATATAAAACAAGTGTTCCGTTATCTTTAAAATAAAAAAGACAAGACATGGATGTCATATGACCATTGCAGCTGGTTGGAAAGATGCCCTGGAGTCAGTGGAGAGAAAGATGGACTTGTGAGTTTATATTAATTTCATTCTAATATAAACATCTGGAAACCCTCTAAAAAGTGCTGCTGCCTAGGGATTTCAGTATGATCCTTTGAAATTGTGCTTTGCTCTGTATAGGACTATTGATGTCTCAGGTCATACTTCAACCCAGCTTTACTGTTCCAAATGCAATGAACATTACCCATATACACAGTGTGCTGCTGTCACCAGCCACTCATCACCAACAAGGGAAGCTCCACAAACAGGTAGGAAATTAAAATGGAGTGAAACTATCCAAGGCCAAGCCTCTCTTCTGGCATCACTTCCACCTACAATCTTTGTTCTGTTGTTCTGAATTGCCAGGTGTTTTCCACAAGCTAAAATAAAAATAAAATAAAATAATTAAGAGGATATAGAATGTTTTATTAGACTAATCAATATTCTTCAAAAAAGGTAGGCTTTGTAGAACTGCTTTGACCTGCTATTCAAAAATACTGTAGAAGAAAGTTTGGCATTTTATAGCTGAAAATCAAGATGCAATTTTATAACTTGGATTTAGATGTGTTCTTTCCTCAGACTTTCTGGATTTATTATCTATATATATTTATATATGTTTTCAGTATAGATC